CCAGCCCGAAGCACACAAAATAATTTTTTTATTTTCAACAGTGAGGCATGGATTCAAATCACATTCCATTCATGAAAACTTGGGATCTCAGCATCTGTTGTTGACTACAGCCCCCTCTGCAAGTTATCACTCCCAGTAATACAGGGGTTGAGAAAGTGTCAATCCTACTTCTCCCTTCCCTTTCACCTGATCCTGCTACTGACTGCATTTTTCTCATTCAGTGAAGGGACAGTTAATAAGTGGGGATGAGAAGACACTGAGGTGACCTCCCCCAGTGTCTTGTCTGTGGTTGGACCAGGGGAAGGCATACTTGCTCCACAGGTTCCTTAGTGTGGCCGCGACAGTAAGGGCGGGATAGCACCAGCAGCAACTTTTGATAGCAAAATTACAGGAGCCTTCAGATTCTCTCACTTTCTGTTGCCTAGTTTGAAATTTACTTTTTGTTCTGTGATGGTTTTGTTTCTGGTTTTGTATATAGGGACTACTCCAGACTCTTTGCTTGACAGTCATTCCCTGTGGAGCTCGGAGAACCATATGGTACTGCAGATGGAACCTGGGCCTCCCGCATGCAAAGCATGTTCTTGGCCCACTGAGCTCTCTATCTGGCCCTGAAAGTTACTTTTCAGACAGGCATTTTATCTGGTCAAGGGTCATACTGGTATATACTATGCATTAGATACAAAGATTATAATAATGATCTTAATGGCAAACTATATTAGGAGATTTCTCCATTTGGAAATGGATAAGAACTTAAACTTCTCCAGAGAAGATATGCAGATGGTCAATAAGCACAAAAACAGGTGTTCAACATCATTATCTATTAAGGAAATGAAAGTTGAAATCACCAGTTTTTGGCAGGATAGAGTTTTTGCTGGAGTGCTGTCTTCTCAAACTGGAGACCTGAGTTTGATTCCCAGCACAGCACAGTCCCCAAGAGGTGTGACCTCTGAGCACTGAGCTGGGAGTGGTCCCCAAGTACCATTTGGTGAGACCTAAAAACACAGGAAAAAGAAAGGAAGGGGCCAAGCAAGCGAGAGGGGTGCTTGTCTAGCATGTGGCTGACTTGGATTTGATCCCGGGTACCACATATGGGCCTCCATGCCCCACCCTGAGAAGTGAATCCTGAGTATAGATCTAGTAAGCCCTGAGAACTGGGTTTACTTGAAATGTGTCCCCTACTGTGACAAAAGAAAAAAAAAGAAAGAAAAAGAGAGGAAGGAAGGGAGGGAGGGGAGGGAGGGAGGGAGGGAGAGAGGGAGGGAGGGAGGGGAAAAATCTTTTAAAAATTTTTATACCAATTCATGCCCATTAGAAAGACTATTGTGAAAATAAAGGGCCTTAGAGAATGGTGAGTTTGAGTGAGAAAATGTAATCCTGCCCATTGCTGGTGGGAGTGCACAGTGTAGATGCTGCTCGGGAAAGCGAGGTGGTCATTCCTCTGAAAACTGAACACAGAATTATAGGATCCAGCAATTCCTCCTCATGGCACTCAAAAAGAAGTGAAAACAGAGACACAAATAGATATTTGTAGTCATTGCTGCATTATTCACAACAGCTAAAATGTGGAAGCAAACCAAGTATCTACCAACAGATGGGTGAATAAACAAAACGTGGCATATATGTACAACGAACCATTATTAAGCTTTAAGGAGGAAAAAATCTTGTCATTTTTAAGAGTATGAATGAACTTTGAAGTTATTATGCTAAGTAAAACTAGCTAGCCACAAAAAGACAAAATGCTGCAGGATTCTACTTACATAAGGTACTTAGAGCAGTCAAATTCACAGAGTCAGAAAGCAAAATAGTGGTTTCCAGGGGCTGCAGGCAGGAGAAAGTGGGGAGTGACTGCTTAATGCAGAGGTTTCCAAACTTATCTGGCCTGTATTTCCCCCTTTTCAAAACAAAAAAATCACTTAGAAACCCCCTAGAAATCTACCTTCTCTCTTTAAGTGAACAAACAGAAAATACACACACATCCTCATTGCAAACAAGGCTCTACTTTCACCCCTATCCCCCCTACCCCTGCCCTGCTGATTATTCCAGTACTCTGGGAAGGGGTTATTACCAAGTTTGGAAAACACTGGTTTAATGGGTACAGAGTTTCCATCTGAAAAGTCTGAGATGATAATGGAGATCTGAAGATAAATAGAGGCACTGGTGTTAAAAACCATGTCTATATATCGTCAGTTACAGTATAGTTAAAATGAGTCAAAATGGAAAAAATATTTTAAATAGTCAAAATGGGAAAATTAGTGTTGTATGTATTTGACAACTAAAAAAGAAGTTTCCTGGAACCTTTGATGTAGAACTTTACACCGTTCAAAAAAAAAAAAAGTATATTCAAGTGCCTGCTATGCACCAGGCATTTAACATATTCACAGACAAAAGATTTTTAAAAAATAAGCTATAACACATCTCTTCACACACACACACACATACACAAACCTTCTTTAATTATTAACCCTTTTTTTAAAAAATGAAGAAGCTAAGGTTCCTAAGTTAACATACCAGGTCAAGGATGAAGAACCAGACACAGAGGCAAAGGCAGATCTGCCTGTTTCAAAGCCTGCATTCTTTTCACTCCACCATGTTCTGTTCTTCCACCTACAGTTGTCTCTTTAAACAGGCTCTTTGTGTTGACTACAGAGCTTCTGTACTGAAAAGTTGGCCCTGCCTTCAGAAGTAAGCTAAAAAACTCAGTTAAGCAAACACATTACTTAGTGCCCAACCCATGGAGCCCAGAGTGTCCATAAAATGATGGAGTCATGTTACTACTATCAGTCATTAACCATATGGCAGGAGAAAGCAAAAAAGGAAAAAAAAAAACCTCACACAATTAAAATTTCAGTGTTGGGTGACTCCTTCCAAAGCCACCAAATAGCCTCAGCAAAAGCATTACGTCTTTCAAAGTTCCATCTGGCTAGAATCTGCCTCATTTTAGAGTGAAGAAGCATATCCCTCTTTTCCTAAACATTCAACCATCAGAGCATGCTCTCCTATTACCAGTGCCAAACCTGGAGCCGAGATGTGAAGATGAAGCAAATGTGTGCAGTGCAGAAAATAAGTCCCTCCCAGCTTTTTCAGAGAGGGCCAGAAAGCCAGGAGTCCCTGAACTCTAAGTACTTAGGGACCATGGTTTCCTTTCCTCCCTCTGCAGGGGAACCACACAGAGAAGAGCCAGGCAGATGGTCTACGCATCCCTAAACAAAGCAGGAGGCTGGCATTATCCGGAGAACCCAGACTATAGATGGGTTAAAACATAAAAACTGGTGCAGTACTCATCCATGCAGCCCATGTGCTCAACTTTCTACTTCATGTACTAATTTACAATGGGATCAGGGACCCTGAGTTTCCTGGCGATCTCTCTGGAAAGGGCCTCTACATCTTTCTCCTGAAAAGGCAAATAGGAAATGAAACTGAGGAATACATGACAGGACTTGCTTGACCCACAGGTTTGATTAAATTCAATGACTCTGGCCGGGGATCTCCATGGTTTCAACACAAGCGATCTTTGCCTCTTGAGCACACAGTACAGGTTTATTTTAAGGAGAAGTAACCTCAGAAAGCTACACGTTTCTTTTTTCTTAGCATCTACACAGAGCTTCTTAGGTCTGTAAAAAAAAATGTTGCATATGTGTGCTTGCACCTTCACAAATTTTAAAACATTAAATCAATTTCTAAGATGGTTTTTTAAAAAAAAATCTAACTCTTCACTGAGAATGATTATAAATGAAGAGATGAAAACACTCCTAACTGGTATACTTAGTGTTGAAAAATCTATGTTTTAACAATTTATGTGTGTCCAACTAGAACATTTTTTATTATTTCTATTTCACCATAGGCAGTCCTTTCTTTGAAAATGAAAATGATCTCTTTTCATTCTAAACACTAAAAAAAAAAACAAAAAAAAACCCTTTATCAATGACCACTTATTGTTTAAACCACACTTCCTGCTGGGAGATTAACCTCAATTTTAAGAATCATGCTACACTAGGATTTTAAACTCTTTCTCCTCCAGATCCTGCCATAAGAATCTCACTACCACATTTCTAACTCATCAGGCTTATTTACTGCACTTTCATACATCACTCATAAATATGAACAAGCTCATTAAGCACATTCATTGCTTGAGAAAGAAAAGATTAAAAATCACATACTAATTTTCTTTTTCGATCTTACTCTATAGTAAGAAAGCAACTCAATGCCACTTTTTTTTAACATTTTTTCCCTTGTCAAGGCTGATGTGCATCTTGCCCTAGACAAGAATAAAATCTAAATCAACACGAAAATCCATAATAATACCGGGTCCTTCCTCAAAACAAATGAAACCCTCCACACTCCTGGGGGAGAGGGGGAAAGGATGCAACTTTAGGCTAACACCCGCAGCAAATGGTAGCTGTTTCTGAGCCGCTCCCGAAAGCAGCAGCATCAGACTGAGGAAGACACTGCTTTTTGAATGGTAAATACTGCCCCTTAGATACGCAATTCCAGCCTTTGTTGGCAAATTCTGACTACAAAAGGATTTAACAGCAACAACATCCAAATCATACAAGACCAGACCAAACAAAAAACAAATCACAGCCATTAGAATGCAAAAGAGAAGACCCCAGGGGCGATAAGTGAGAAAGATACAGCCAAGAACACTTTTCAGAGCTTACACCCCTAAAACTGGGGACTGCAAGGCTCAGATGATCCGTCCACAGCTTCACAACACCAACTGATTTCAACTCAGCCCTGCGTTTCTGGCAGAGAACTATGCAAACAGCTTCTTACATTTGGCGTGTTTTTTACTGAGGAATCACCAAAGCTAAGCTCTCAATGAAGATTTAAAAAAAAAAAAAAAGCGAATGTGATCATTTTCAAAGCCCTTTAAAAAACAACCGAGTCTAATCATTTTTCCTCTTAGAAAGCTGTCTGAAAAGCAATGATTGCTCTTATCACATATATATAGTGTGCATATATATATATTTAAAAAGCAACGTGAAAAGCGTTTCCTTTACCTGCTCCTGAGGCTGTTCTGAGGCGTCTCCACTCTCTCAGGAGCCGCTGTGTTCAGGCGAGCTTCGGTGCAACCCGCCCAGCCCAGCCCAGCGCAGCAGTAGTAGAAGCAGCCCACGGAGTGGCAGCCGCCGTTGCGTGTATGTGTAGCAGCGGCGCCTGCAGTCCAGGGACTAGTCCCCACCCAGCTTTGTCTTCAATCATCGATGATTTTACGGAAGCAGCGCATCTCCCACTTCCTCCTCCTCTTGGTAGCCCTTCACTGCTTTCTTCTTTCTCTCTCATTTCATTTAATCGCTCACGCCAGCAGTTTTCCCTTCTTTAGGACTTCTGACACTCACTTGACTAGAATCCTCTTTCTTTCTTTGTTCCACGTGCCTTGGTGCAGTTGGTTCCTTTCTTTGCTCTTTCACTTCCTCACCTCCAGTAGCTGCCAGCATCTAACTGCCCCTTCCCTGCCTGATGGTTAATGGTTGCTGTTGCTGGTTTGGACTCAGTGGTCCCTGATGATCCAGATCTGCTTCTAATTTACTTCAGTTCCCACTGATCCAGCAGCTGGGAGCTTGTAATTCACAGCTTCTGGCTGGAGCATTTGCCCCCCCACCCTGTGACCAGCATTCCCATTTGTTTAATGTCTCCAAAGTCTCACTACCTGTGAGATTTTACTTAATCTACCTGCTCAGAAAAGAATGTCCCTGATAAGTATTCTTATGAGGCAAGGAGTGACACAAAGTTCTACAGTACTTTCAGCAGTCCTAACAGTGAAGGAAGTTTCCCAAATGATGATCCAAAAGTCCTGGGAAAGAGCAAGGTGGGTGCTATGCTGACTCACAGTCCAGCAGTAAAGGACTCTTATGACCCCTAATATTTTCACTCCACTTTTGAAGGTGGTGGGGTGCTATGGATTGGGTTAGAGCTTGCAGGCAACTTCTCTGCGAGAACTGGGATCCAAACTATTGTTTATGGAAAACCTGAGCAAATTACTCAACTTCTTTATGCCTTAATGTCTTCATCTGCTTGATAAAGATGACTCCATAGTAGAAGGGAGGATAGCTGGATAGCAGAGATGACACACAAAATGCTAAAGCGTTGTTCCTGGAACATAGAAGTGTTCAGTGCCTATTAGATCATACATTGCCAAACCAGGACCAGCATACTTGGTTTTATGATGCGTCCCTTAGTACATTCACAACTAAGCGCTGATGCTCGTGGAAACAATTCATTTAACTTGCAACTCATTCTTTCCCAAGACCAAAGCAAAGTGCTTGTCCGGTTTGGGAGAAACTAACTAGTAGTAAGGGTAGGGGATCTTTCCTGGCAATGATGATACGAAACTTCACAAGATTCTGCACCTGGAAAGCAAATCTTCCCATATACTAGAGGTAAGATCAAATCTGGTTTGGCCTTAGCCCTCCAGCAAGTTAAATGATAAGCAGTATTGAAAGTCTAAGGCTGGCACAGAATAATTGGATAACCAGGGAGCTTTCTAACACAGGCAGGGGACCACAGCACAGTGCTCTGGAAGGTAGAAAATATAATTATTTGAAAGGTGTTGAGACAGTCCGAGGGTAATCTTTGTTTTGATTCCATGCCCTAGGAACAGAGCTTGCTTATTTCTTCTTGAAAATCTTTTTCTCTACAAACTGATGTCAACTGACTAGCAGCAGAAACTGACAAAATGTATTGTTTTAAGATTAAAAGAAGCTGATTTCGGGGCTGGAACGATAGCACAGTGGGTAGAGTGTTTGCCTTGCACACAGCCGACCCGGGTTTGATTCCCAGTATCCCATATGGTCCCCCAAGCACTGCCAGGAGTAATTCCTGAGTGCAGAGCCAGGAGTAACCACTGTGCAACACTGGGTGTGACCCAAAAGCAAAAAAATAAAATAAAAAAAGAAGCTGATTTTGAGCACCAGCAAATCAAATTATGGTGGAGGGAGATGATTGGACATGTATTTCAACAGCCTCTGAAATCCACAAATTAGGAACCCAAGTGCCAAAGGTTATCAGGAACTTTGAAATAAAAATCTAAGTCAATAAAAAGTACAGTTCTTAATGGTTGCCAAAAGTATGGAAGCAAATCTTTGGTTAAATTTAGTGAATCTGGCATTTACATTAGATTCAAATGTCTTTTTAATTTATAATTTTTTTATCCCTGCTTTCTTCGTCTTCTCACCATTACATTCATCACAGAGTGGTTGATACTTTTTAAATTTTATTTTAGTTCATATTATGGAGTTTAATTTTTTTATTTTAAAAAATATGTTAGTCCCCACAGCACTGAGCCTACTCCTGGCTCAGTGCTCAGGGACCATGTGGTACAGGGGATTAAACCCAGGTCTTCCTGAATGTCAACCTTGCATTGCCTTTCACCTACCATCCCAGTCTCTTTTAGACAGAAATATCTCTAGAATTTGGTTTATGGTCTGCTAATTAGTTTTTCAATCTTTGGCCATTATAAAGCCCACAGTATGTTGACCTGTTCATGATGGAAAGTTCCAGCAAGTCTCTCTTCAAAACTAGAAACTAGATTTTATGTTCTTTCTCTTCCTCATTAACCTCATTGCTTTCAACCCATCTTTTAATAGCCTCCCTTTTAGGAGAGAAGAGAAAAATGTGGGGGTGTAAATTGGCTGAGAGATAAAATGAATCCAGATCAGAGCTCTTAATACAAGCGTGGTAAGTACACATACTAAGTCTGTAAATTGTTCATTTGTTAGGAGATATAATTATATCACATCATTAACAGTTCAAACCATCAATTACAAAATATGAACCTATCTTAGATAAATTTAGTCAATGCATAAATCAGAAGCCTGCATATTACTCTAGCACTTATCAATGGCCCTATTTGTACCTTACATTATTGAGCATCCTAACTGGATTCTCCTTAAAGATCATTAATACTAACACTTCTCAAATTATATGTATGTATTATCTCACCTCATCTAAAGCCCATTTTCTTTTCCATATTCTCCATTCCACTTAATAAGAACTATAAAACAGATACACATAGTAGGAATATAAGCAGTATATTCGAACCAGTTGTTTTTGTAACCCCCTTAACTCATCCATTAGTCCCCACACCAGACTGTTCCTTTGGCCAACCCCCCTTTTTCTCTATTGCTGCATATAAACACTGTATGATTATATAAATGTTTTGGTTTCTTTATATGACTCAATTCTCCTTGCTTATTCTCCCACCTCCAGTCCCTCTTCTAAGCCATGCCTCTAGAATTACATTTCTAAAATAAAGAGCTGATAATGTTTGCCCTGCTGTAATTGCTCAGGAGTTCCTTCCTTGTCACAGGATATGTCTCCTTTCCTTTCCACGACATACAAGGTCCTCTGTCATATCATCCAACTAAAATTCTAACTTTATTATACAAAATGTTGTGTGCAACCCAATACCCACCTTCGTGGCAGCACCTCTGTAGCAGTTTTCTTATGAGACCATGCTCTTTTCTCTCTGCTTATGTGACATATGTCCATTTGTTTAAGCCGGAAATGCCTTCATTCCTTCCTCCCATTTTGTTTTCCTATTGCCCCCTAAGTATCCTTTGGTTTAAAGGAGACTGGGTAACCTGTCAGATGTTTCTCTCTGGCTTTGCGTTTAGGGATCACTCCTAGTGGGGCTCAGGGAACCATATGGGGTGCCAGCGATGGAACTGGGTTGGCCACAAACCAGGCACGCATGCTGCCTCTTCTATTCTCTTTAATTCAGTCTAAGATGTATGTTCAGCTCAATCAGCATTTGAGCTCCTTGAGGCTAAGGTCTTGTTTTATTCATCTGTGCTTGTCACCTAGCAGGTAGTGAGCAGATGTTTGTACAACAAAAGGACATCTTGGCAGAAATTCCGAAGCTGCTTTTGTGTTACTTTGCATATATGAGAGTAAGTAAGTAAGTAAAGGCCCTCCCGTTGATCATGGATTTGCTCGAGCGGACCCAGTAACGTCTCCACATATATGAGAATGGAGGGGAAATAAAAAGGAAGTCTCTGATATGAGAAGTTGGTCATGGGAAAAAAACAATAATCCCTGTATTTATTGTGCAAACTGACTCCAGGAAATCATAGTTCATGCATAGCAGATTCTGATTATGTGTTATGTAGAAAACCCTAGAGAATCTGAGTGACCCCTGGTTCTACAGCTACACTGAATTGCTTAAAAATAATAGCCAGGCAACAAAATAGTTAAGACAATCTTTTGTTTGTTTGCTTTTGTACCACACCCAGTGGTGCTCAGGGTTTACTCCTGGCTCTGTGCTCTGGGATCACTCTTGGCTGGGCTCAGGGACCATATGGGGTGCTGGGGATTAAATCAGGATCAGTCACTTGCAAAGCAAGTGCCTTGCCATCTGTACTATCTCTCTGGACCTTAAAAAAATTTTTTTTCAAAGATCACAGAAAAAAAGGGAATCTAATAAATGAAATAAAAATCTAATCTTTTACTTAAGATTTCTAGATGAACTTTAAAGAGACTCCTTATTAGTCATAAAGACTAGCATATCCACCCTCCAACCCCACCCACCCTCATACTCTCCAGGTTTGATACCTCTCAGCTGTCCAGCACTCATAGACCAAAGCCCCAGACTCCTTCTCTAATCTCTTTCAATATTGCTCCCCACATCCCTCCTCTCTCTTTCCAGGGCCAGGCAGGCCTTTGCTGTCTTGACTAACTTGTCTTTGACCTAAACTCTCCCTAATGTTCCTTCAGCCAGTTTGGATCTCTCTCTATCCTTTCTATTAATACAGAAATGAACCAAAAGTCCCTCTAGAGTCCCCTCCAGTGCATGTGAGCTTGATGAAGAGGGAAGAATAAAATGGGACTTATAAATGAATTTCTATGTTAATAATTTTTATTCATTCACAGACACTGTCAATGCCTTTGATAAATTGCTTACTTGTTGTGGCAATGAGTTACCAGAGTAAAAAAGAAATTAATAATTTACTTCAGTAAAAAACAGAATTTCAGGCATTTCTTAGATTTAATTAAGGCATAGATGCCTCCCTAAAGACTTCTTATAAACAAACAAACAAACAAACATATTCTCTATGTAGTCTGTGTGTACCTGGCTAATTTCTCCACCCCAACTCCCAAATATGAGCCTACTTTTCC